GGGTCCAAGGAAATCGTGTTTCGTGCATGGTCCATGTCAGGTTTCCAAAGTAATTTTGTTCCATTTGCCTCTTTCAGGAGCGGGATGCTTTCGAAGCACCAATCTGTGTGTTAAGTTGCAGGCCACTCACTCTGGGTGGGCCTCTCTCTCCCCGGGCCTCTCTCTCTTTTTGCTTTGCAACTCAAATGAGAGATCTGGAAAAAGGGAGGAGCCCACATTGCCTAAATTTCCCACCGACCATTACTGCTCTAAGAGCAACAGGTAACTGATTCCAAAACCCCACCGTGGGGTCCACCTTTACTCTTCCCTGTCTCTTTCTGGCCTTCCGCATTGTCCAAACTGGTTTTGCTGTTGCCTCCATCCGGCATTTCTTTGGCTGGCCGTTTTGGGGTCAGCACTGATGTGACAGCTTTGCAATGTGCTGTTTACTCACTCAGCCATTCTCTGCTCTTACAAACATTTTTTCCTAAATAAACCCAACTCATTTGCTCAGAAAATAATCATTGGGAATATGTGTGAGGTGGGGAGGGAGATAACTTGGTGCACAGCTGCCACTTGCGGCTTGTCAGGGTTTCTGCTTCTTCCATTGCTTCTGCACATGATGTAGCCTCCTTGGCAATCTTTTGAATCAGCAAGGCATTTCCTGCTTGTTCCGGGCAAGTGAGGGGCACATGTTAGGCTGGAGAGGCCGCCTTGTTTGTGGCAAGCATCGCGCCAGAAGTCGAGAGAGCTCAGCACAGCGCTCCTGCGAGCTGTGGACGAAGCCTGCAGTCTGCAGGGGATGTGCCGTGTTTCTGCTGCACCTTGAAGTGATTAGGGGGAGGGAGGCACGGAGCACGTTGCCCAGGGCAACGGCAAGGCATCCTGCGGCCCCAGGCAAAGACGACACTGCCCTTTCCTACACCGGGTACAGGAGCTGCCTGGATTGGTTGCGAGGGTTCAGGTTAATCTTGGTGATGGGATCAGCCCACCTGAGGCAGAGGCCAGTTTGGTCGGCCAGGACTGGCCTTGCTCTCCCACAGAGGGAAGCAGCTGGGGCTGCCTCCAGCCCTGCTGCTCAAAGCGGTGGCTCCTCCCTGCCAAACGGTGTGGCCAGCTTGGACTTTGCTTTCTTTTGGCAACAGACCCATGTCCCGTATTGGGCTCAGCTCATTCTGGGCTTGAAAGCTGGTTTCTAATACTGAGGTCATCTCCATGCTGCACATGCTGATGCCTAAATGTACAAAGGTGGGAAGCCCCTCAGCCCATCCATTCCAGACATTTTGACTAACCAAGGTCTACATATGAACCTGGTCGCCTGGCTCTTACTCCTGTAAAAGCATCCTCTAATGAGCCTTGCACATGTCACTTTGGCCATAAGTTCCAGGCTGTTCAATTAGGTTTATTCACAGTACAACATGGAGGGGGGCATTTTTGTATCCTCCTTCATTTTGCAGAAATAAATGTGCAAATGGCCCTTGTCCGCAATTTCTAGTAACTTTGGGAGCTTGGCCTAGCAGAGGCCAAATGCGTACCCTTGGAGGCACATATCTGAACACGTCAGCTAGCCTGCCGATGAAGCCCCTTTGCATTACAGAGGATCGGAGGCCCTGTCCTGGGTGTGCCCGCTCACTCTGATGGTCATCCAATTTGACCCCAAATAAGGGTGGGCCAAAGGTGGCTTTATAGATTTTTCAGACTTCAGCTCCCAGAAGCCCTTGCCAGTGTGGTCAGTGATCAGGAATGCTGGGAGCTGAAGTCCAAACCACCTGCAGGTTTACTTTCTGCCCACCACAAACACATGCAATGACGAGTGAAGCAGTTTCCTGGGCTTTTCCTGGCACGGCAAAGCTCTCCTCGGTAGCGAGTGACTTAGAAGGCTTTGCAGGATCAGGTATTATTTATCGGGGTGGGGGCTGTGCATGAGCTGATTTAGGCCCACGTCCACCCCAAGCAGCGCCCAGTGCAGGACGGGTGTGGGCAAGGCAGCAAGAGGGAGAAGGCTGATCTGAGCACAGGAGCAGCTTGCAGGATGGATAGAAGCAAAAATAAAGGCATTCTGCTTTGAGTGAGTGAGCAGTGGAGGTGCAATTCCTTTAGAAGGTTATTCCAAAGGTGAGGAGCCACCACACAGAGGGCCCTGTTCTATGTACTCAGTAGCCTAACTGATGTTGTGATGGGGAAGAAAAGATTGCAAAACATGGGGCGGGGGCAAAGAATTGTCGCTATAAAATGGGAAGTCTGCGAATGTTCAGCATTTGCTACTAAGGTCTAGAATTTGTTGGGAGGAATCTAATCAAAAATAGGGGATTTCTGGGTGGGTGGGTGGGGCAGGGTACCCTCTAGTGCTGTGCCTCTGTCCCATCACTGAACTCTGGTTATGGTTCCATCAGTGGAGCATGTTTAGGAGGAAGAAAGATACTTCATTCTATTTTGACCTTTGTGCTGCTTGTGCCTTGGGTCATCAGGAAATGAAATGCAATACATTTTAATTCAGCATGCAGATTTATTTTAAAATAACTGGGAAGAGGTTGATAATTAACAGGCTCAAAGCAAGCCCAGAGTAGCTATGCAACCCTTCCCTCGCTTGAAATTTTCAGTTGGAATTCCCTTTTGGCACTGGGGTGGGGAGAACCCTCCCCAACCAAAACCAGCTGATGTCCAAATGATCTTATTCTACCTGAAGAATTCTCTTCATTTGCTACTCGGGTCTTACCATGACCATAGAACGCTTGTAAATGGTTGTACAACAGGATGCTGTTTCAGACAAACATCAAGCTCTTCCCACTCTGCAAGGGATGGAGATGATTCATTAGCCAGTCCCCCTCAAAAGCCCAGAACCGCATCCAGCTGTGCTCTGGCACATGCAGCCAGCCGACCCAGGTGGTGCTGAGTGTCGCCCTTGCCTAAGTCATATTTCCTGTTCAGTGGGACTGGATTAGCCCCGGGACTGGCAATCTCTGCAGCTCTCCCTTCCTCACTTAAGGCACTGATGGACAGAAGGGAGAATCCTTGCAAAGCCCACTTCTGCAGCGTGTGAACACTGACACGGAAAGGCGTGCAGGGCACACTAGAAAGGGCCGCTGGAAACCCTGGCTGCTTGGCCGGGGGATGTCCCGAGGGTGGTTAAGCTCTCCAAATTGACCTTCCCTCCATTACGTGGCATTTAACTGTCCGTCTCCACGCAGGTCAGCCCTCCCGGCTTGTGTGTGTGTTGCTTGCTTGTTTGTTCTTTGTCATCATCACTTAGGGCCGAGAAAGGGGTTGGCGCCAGTGTGCTGGGGGGTGGGGGCACCTGCATGCCTGCCCAGGCAGTGGCGGAGGACCTGTCCCCGTGCAGGCCGTGCATGCAGGCAAGAAGGGGGGGGGAGCATGGCTGGCGCCCCCTGTGCCCCACAGAAGGGCCCTGTCAGCATGGAGTCTGCATGCCTTAGCATGTGCTCGCGTGGGCGCCGCCAGCTTGTACAGGGGGCAAATGTCCTGGCTGGCAGCCCTGGAATAGGCAGGGCTCTTGTATGGCAGTGGCCGGAGCGCAGCGGGGGCCACATAGGCACTGCATGGAAGCGCATGTCCCCATGCGCTCCCGTGGCGTCTCGGTGTAACTTCTGCGTGGCCTCAAAGGTCTGCTAGATGCTGCATCCATGGCCACAGCCCGGGGGCCCCTCACCTGGATGCAGAGGCAGGGCCCACTCAGCTCGCGTGCCAGTCGAAGAAGTAACAAGGTGGATGTTTCATCGTTGGGCAGAAAGGAAGGCCAGGACACTGCTGGCCACACTGCCTACTGCTGACTGCAGCGGGTTATTAGGAGAAAAGGAAGTGGGATGAGTAGACCTCCAGACGATATTTTATTTCCCATTAGTCCTCGATGACTTGCTCAGGCTGCTTGACAAATCTCCAACAAGACAGTCCTGTGCCTGCCTACTCAAACGTTAGTCTTGTTAAATTCAATGGCGTTTACACCCAGATCTGTAGGATATAATCCTATGCAAGACTAAATGAGAAAAATGCCACACAGTGGCATTAAAATCATGTTGCTGGTATCCCCAGCAGAGCTGGCCAGGGCAGAGTGGCCATTGCAGAACATTTTGTGCCTAAGCATGCAAAGAATTGCAGACTTAATCTCTTCAGGAGTTAGGGAGCTAAGCTTCTGAGCAGCTTGTCTGAAGCAACCTAGTCTGCTGCTGCCTAAAGTAAGCTCTTTGTTACCCAGAGAGGAGCTTTCTTGCCCTTCTGTCACAGGGAAGGTCCCTGTGAAGGCATGGAGCCCCTCAAAGTCCTCTGGCAACAGAAGGTGCTCCAGTGGAAAGGCTCCTATACCCTAACCCTAACCCTGTCCACATGGTTCAAATTTGCCTGTTGTGGTAAGCACCAAAACCTACACCTGATTCCTGCATAACAAGAAGAGTGAAAATTTCCCCATGGCTTCTCATGACAGCATGCATCACCATTCTGAATACTTCATTAACAGCAGGGGCACACCATGGCTTGTTGTTATGTGAGAATTCTGCAAGGGTGAGTTCGTGGTATGATTGGCAAGCCACCTAAAACCTGTGGGTTGCTCTAGCGTTGCAGATGGCTTGTCAGCCACCCCAGCAACCCAGCTGTCCCGGGTTTACCCATGATGAAAAACTAGAGTGCATTGTGAATATCCACTGTATTGGTCACCTTCACAACAAGAAGCCCGCCATGAAGCATATTCATGGTGGCTTCTTGTGATGTGCAAACTAGGCCCAAGATTCTTTGCTCATCCCCCTTACATGATTCATCTGCTGCATCAGACTGATTTGAATAAGGCCTTTTTGTTCAGAAACACAAAGAGAAAACAGGAACTTGTGTTTCATCTTTAAATGACTGTGCATCCTTTGAGTACACTGTTGTCATCAGGTTTTTTAATTTCATTAAATTATTAGCATGGTATTATTAAAGATTAGCAAAATGAAAATAATTGAAGAAAATAATGTAGGTGATTTTATTACATCACATGGTTTCCTTTTATTTTTATTTTTATTTTGTCTTTTCAGAGTGAAAGAATTGAAAAAGGCCAAGGAACTTGAAGTGAGAGAAGGCGGCAGCATCCCATAGCAATGTGGCACTGCTTTTCAGACTGTTTTCATTTTCTGTTTTTAGCAGAAACATGCAACAACAATTACAAAAATGATTTAATTATTTAAAAAAAAAGAAACTGACTGCAGTGCTGAGAATATCGGCTGCAGGATTTTAATGGTAATGTTTCATCATTACATTTGCACTTTCATGGACAATTTTTAATTTGTTCAGCAAGACATCTTGGAACTCAAACCTTTGGTTGGATCATGGGGGGGAAAGTGACACACCCGGAAGGAGTTTTCATGAGTTGCTTCGTTCCTCTGAAAAACGAAATACAAAAACACACAAAAAAGAGAAGCAATTACTTATCCTTTTCATATAGGGCTGTATTAAACAAAAACGACGTGTGGAACTGTACAAATATTATACCAAAAAAAAGCAAAACCCCCACAATCCAAGAATGCTATTCTTGCACCTGTCAATCATCTCCAAGACCTGGAAATGTTGGGATTCTCCTTGGAAAGTCTTTGATCACCTTCCATCTTGCTTGGGCCTGTCCCTCCTCCCATCTCCTTTGCACTTCTGTCTTTCTGTTCTTCATCTAAATTACTTTCTACAACACAATTTAATGCAACTTTTTAGATCTGCTGGTTTTCAATACATCTTGTGGGAGTTTTTCCAGAAAGCTGTCAGTGTTTTTAAGGCAAACGGGTATTTGCAAGGGGGCAGGGTGGGGGTGGGGGAAAGAAAATGGGTGAGCAGCTCAAGCAAAAAGGTGTTTCTTTTCTTTTCTTTTTTATTTTTGGGATGTCTTTCTTTCTCTCTCTCTCTAGAGCCTTCAAAGTGTATCAACTGCCATATGCACTTCCCATATTTGGCACTTTATTTTCTGGCCTTACTTCACACAAGATTTTTACTTACTTACAATGATTTGTAAAGAATTTTGGTAACCTGCAGACCTCTTGTTCAACTGAAAGTCACATGCAAATAAGCTGACTGGACATTTATACCACAGAAGGGAGCAGGTGTGGTGCTGCATTCCGGCCAGTAAATTTCTTGTTTTGGCTATTTCATCGAGGAAAAAATAAATGAAAATCTAGGCAGTTTCTGTACATAGAGAGAAGGGAGAAATGGCAAGGAGAAATAAATATTTGAAAGGGAATATATTAATTGCTAAATATTTTATTCGTAAAGGGTCAATAACTTGGCAAGAGAAATTTGCGTATTTGTATAGTTTTGTCTGAATGAACTGAGAAGCGTGTGGATGTTTGTACATATTGTATATACTAAAACAGAAGTGCATGAATTCAAGGAAAAAAAAGAAATGAAAAAGCAAAGCATTAGTGGCTTATGGTCTGTAAAATGAAACAAAAACTTTATTTCACTATAAGAAACTTTATTTTAAATGTTCTTTAGAAGAACATTTTGCTAAAGCATGACTAAACTGCAGAAGCAAAAGAGCTAATGTATTTAGACTTAGGAAAAAGGCAAAGTAACATTACTTTTAAAAAAGAGATATGTTTACATTTGATTTTGGCTACCAGGAGTTTATTTAATTTTGTTTTAATTTTCTTGGTTATCTTTTTTCTTTTATATTTAATTTCTCCTTTTTTGCCAATGGTGCCAAGTAAAGTGAATGCTAATATTGCTTAAGAAAAAATTGTTATTTTGCAAAGCAGATAATCATAAGAATACAAAATTGTATCTAGCTTAACAAACACCATACACTCACTCCAATAAAGAACACTTAGAATGAGCATAAGCTAAAAAATAAAGCAAAAAGAAATAGTATGAAAGTAGAAAAATGTTTCACATGTCCATATTTCTGCTGGAAGTCAGACAATGTACTAAAATTGCACAAAATTTTAAAAATGCATAAAAAATTAAAAGATGCAAGCAGGTTTTGTAGGGGTGTCATGGTATATTGCTATTTCCACATAGAGAGGAGCCAAAGAAATGTTTGAAAATTGTCATTTCAGTAATGTGAGTTGTAGACTGCAGAGAGGGAGGGGGGAAGACTGATGGCTTACCACTCTGCTGTGCTGGAAGGGGGTGCAGGAGGTCAGGTCAGAGGCAGAGCAGCCCGGGAGTTGTCGCCCCCCCCCCCCGCGTGCATCTTGCCGGTGCCAGCTGAAATGCTCCCGGTTGCTCAATCTGACCATTAGGCCATTGGGTTGGTGGAACCAAAATTGCTTTTGCTTGATCCCAGCCACGAGGTGACACTTTTAGTCTTACCTAGAGGCTCTTTGTTAAGCCTGAAAACACAATTCTGGTCAGTTTTTGAATTGGTGTCTTTAAAAAATACTGAAACACACAAAGATTGTGGCCAAAACCCATGAACAAAAACCAACCTGGGGTCAGGGCTCTTGGTGCCTTCTCTGTCATTATAATTGTGTCTCTCTTTCTAGTCACTTCTTTTCACTGCCAGGACTGAAAATGACTGTTGTGTATCTGCTGAATGATGCTCATGCTCTCTGTACATTTGTTCATTGCCACTTCAGGGCCCAATTCAAGAAGCAGGAAATTCACATACAAACTAGGATGCCAAAGACATTTGGCTCCCTCCACACTTGCCTGGAGGCCACCCTCTCAGGCCAGGCCTTCCGGGGTCACTGAACAAGGAGGCCCTTTGCACATGAAGCAAAGGGGAGAGAGTGCAAGAAGGGACTCCTTTGGCCGGCTCTCCAGCTGTGTTCAAGCAGCACACTTCTTGTCTCCTTTAGAACTGACCCTGCACTTTGCCCTCACAAGAGTAATGACCTCCATGGCCATTCCTGAGCAGGTCTCGGTTTGTCTGCGGGTTTTCAGAGTCTCTCTCAAGGTGTCGCACCATTCATCCTTCCAGATCTACAGGCTGGTGGAGTGTTGGGCATCTGGCAGGCAGACCCTTGATGTGCTGTGCTGGATCTCAGCCCACTGTGCAGGCAGACCTGCTGGTGCCCACAAGGCAGCTGAGGCTCACGGCCTTGTCCCTTGCTGAGTCCAGCAGAGACCCAGCCAGGTCCCCGCTGGAATGAAGCTGTCTGCTGACACACGTCTGAGACATGCCAAAATAGCTTCTCCTTTGGGCATGGCCCTGAGGTTTTGGCACGTTCCCTCTACAATGTCTCCCAAGACAGTATCAGATTTTCCCCTTCTCCCTTCCCTGGGTTGTGGGACTCAGGAACAGGGAGATCCCTTGGGCCTCCTTCCTGCTAATAACCGAGCTTTCAGAGCTCCAGGGATCAAGATCCTCTTGTGTCTCCCCCAAAAGCAGAGTTGCTCCTTTGTGTGACATCACGTGTGACAAGAAAGATCCTGTGTGAACGAAATAAATAATATAACATGAACCCCCTCTATGTTTGCACGCATAATGGCAGTTCCACACAGTAGTCGGTGCCCAAACAGAGGGGAGGGGGTCCCCAAGACTTGCATGTAAACCTAGGATAGATGTCTCTTTTTGTAAGTTTTATTTTTGTAACTGTGCATGTTAAAAGCATCACTGACTCAATGGATCTGTTGAAGAACTCAGCTGCTGGAACCATGCAAAATGTTTTGAATTGCCCTTAAAATATGGAAAATGTTTTCTGAATGCTTTATATTCTTTCTGCTGTAAATTAAAAAGAAGAAAATTTCCCCACGTGAAGTGTGTTTTTTCCCTATCTATTCTTGCCTCCATCTGGATCCGCAATGCATGGGGTGGGATTCGCAGCACTGGAACCCAGCACCTGGAAAGGAGTTCAGAATGGGGGACAAAGAGCGGGAAGGCACGTTGTGGAAAAGGGGCCAGAGGAAGCAGCCCAGGCTCTGTGGCCATTTCTCACTTGCCCTGGACAGGCCTTCAGCACCCTAACACAGTGTGGCACAACGACGATCCAGTACTAGTTGCAGAGCTGTTGGCTTTGGGGAGAAAGCCCCAGAGCACAAGGAGACAAGGCGAAGAAAGCCTGAGCTTTGGAAGCAGGACACTTCGAGGTCGGCTGTCCTTCATGGCTCAGACACAGTTTTGCTTTCTCAAGGAATGTAAGTGAATTTCCACACCTAAGGGCTGAATTCCCTTTGGGTCTCTCCTGGTGCAGATTAGGTGACACTGTTGTCAAGGTGGAGAAAGCATGGAGGGCGCCTGGAGGAAAACAGTTCTGTGCAAAACATTATAGCAAAGATTGTTTGTTTGTTTGTTTGTTTGTTTTATTAAAAGCTTTTCCATCCCAAACATAGTAAGATATTATTATTATTATTATAACATTTCTATGCCGCCCCTTGCCGAAACCTCGGGGCGGCTTACAACACAATAAAATACATTGAAATACAATAGAACATAATAAATTACCATTAAATACAAAAATACAAAAAATACACTGAGTTACAAATATAAAATTAAAATTATCAGTATAAAATAAGTAAATAAAAATATAGGAGGAGAAAAGAGAAGGAAGAAGAAGTTGCCCTGGCCAGATCATATGTTTTAACAATTAAAATGATCTTTAAATAAAAAGGTCTTTACCTGGCGCCGAAAAACCAGTAACGACGGTGCCAGGCGGACCTCTTTGGGGAGTGAATTCCATAGGTTGGGCGCCACCGCAGAGAAAGCCCTCCTCCGAGTACTTACTCTCCTAATTTCTTTCATGGAGGGTTCCCGGAGAAGGGACTCTCCCGCAGATCTCAAAGGGCGGTCGGGCATATACGGACGTAAGTGCTCGTTCAGGTAGTCAGGACCCAAGCCGTTTAGGGCTTTATAGGTCATAATCAACACCTTGAATTGGGCCCGGGCTTCAATGGGAAGCCAGTGAAGTTGACGGAGGACTGGAGTCATGTGAGCATAACGCCCCATCCCTGTCAGTAACCTGGCAGCTCTATTTTGCACCACTTGAAGTGTTCGGACCGTCTTCAGGGAAAGCCCCACGTAAAGCGCGTTACAGAAGTCTAGGCGGGAAGTCACCAGCGCGTGTGTCACCGTCGCCAGGCAGTCGTACTCCAGGTAGGGGCGCAACTGATTAATCAGCCGAAGCTGAAGGAAGGCGTTCCTCGCCACCGCTGTCACCTGAGCTTCCAAAGAAAACTCCGGGTCGAGGAGTACTCCTAAGCTGCGGACCTTATCCCTAAGAGGAAGTGTTGCACCATTCAGGACCAGGTCAAATCCACCCTCTCCGAAACCCGATCCGCCAACCAACAGGACCTCCATCTTGTCTGGGTTGAGTTTCAGTTTATGAGAGGGGCATACAAAATTATGCCTGGTGTGATGAAAATCTCCCTCTCATACTACTAGAACCCAATATTTATTTATTTATTTGTTTATCAATTTATATCCTGCCTTTTTCCTACAAAGGACTCAAGGCAGCTTACATCATTCTCCTCCTCCATCTTATCCCCACAACAAAGACCCTGTGAGGTAGGTTGGGCTGAGAGCCTGTGACTGGCCCAAAGTCACCCATGGCTGAGCGGGGACTAGAACCCAGGTTGTCTGAGTCCCAGTCCCACGCTCTTAACCACTGCGCCAGACTGGCTCTCATGAACATCCCATGACACTACTTGGGGAGGAAGTTAATGCAGACAAAAAAGTCCGTTTTCAGCCAGCACAGAGTTAAGGCACAGTCAGTCTGGGCAGTTTTAAAACCAGAGCAATCCATGGTGGTTCTCCATGCCTGCTAGTCATGAAAACGGAACACCATCCCCAGGCTCAGAGGCAATATACTGGGGAGCAGAGCA